AACATAACTGAATTACTCTAACGCATGCGCGACAGTCTTATTCAGTCTGTCACATAATAAGAGAGACAGTTTTATGGCTTATCAAAATATTGAAGTATTAAAGACTGAATTTATTGCTGTGTCCACTTAAACATTCAGATTTAAAAACAAACATTTTTTATATTTAGCCATTAATTTTTAGATTTTCAGATGCCTATTTATAATACGTTGWGTGTTTATATTATTTATATACGGTTTCCGCTTGACAACTATATATGACGCGGAAATCCCTGATATGTATTAGATTCGATATTACGGTGATGACTTTAACACTCGACATATTACAAGATCTTACCTTTATTCTCTACTGCTGTGTGTAGAAGAATCACAAAAACGAATGAACACCACGGATACATCGTGTAAGTGGCCAAGAGCACGAGACGGTCACCTCAATTAATATTTCTTTTCTTGTAAGATGTGGTTTTGTATCTCAGCAGTAGACTTTCACTCTCTATTGTACGTACTATTTTTCCTACTTCTGGTTTCGAATCATCATAACTACCCCTCCCCTACACCGTAGATTGATTTTCATGGGGGGTGGGGCAGGGCTCGTGTGGCAGTAGAATAAGGCGATATCTTCAGTAAATGAGAGAGAAGGTTCGGGAATGCGTGCGGAAGATAAATTTCTATAAGATGGCTTTGAAAAGCTGCCACCTTTGTGTTTGTGGCTTATTTGTCATGGATTCATGAACCGTTTTTAATACTAAATGTTCTAAACCAACATTCTAATTAAACTTTTGTCATTGAAAATAATGAAATCATAACGCAATACATGCACCGTCGCATCACTTCAGCCACATTTGATGACAGAAAGATAGAATCTCTTTCACTTGAGAAAATGAAACGTGTAGTAGTAAAAAAATACCATTTGTCACCTTCCAACGGCTAGAGCTTCTTTCAACACTAAAATGTCGTCGCCCTTGCTGATCCAGAAATATTTCAAGGGTAGTGACTGTTATCCAGAAAGCCATCACATAGCGTCCTTTTTGGTTTTACCTTATGCTTCATTCTATTATTCTTCAACTTCAATGCAATGGGAGTTGACTAGTTACCCAATACACCTCCCGTGATGATTCCAGCGGTACGACTAAATTGCATTACCTATTTTATATTTTCTCGATCGTTCTTTTCCTTCGCAAAACTCAATATATGCTAAATTAGGATTGAATTTAATAACAATTCAATTTTGTCTTTTGACTCTCTTGGAAATGCTTGCAACC